GAACTCATTTTTCCCCCAGGCTTGATGGGAAGCACCTTTTCTGGGCAATCACCTTGAATGGCCTAGTCTGTGAAATTTCTATGAAAGTTTCAGATATGGGACACTAAAGAGACCGTGGGTTGCTACCTTCAAGTATGGAACTCTGGAATTCTGGTTATTTTAAAGTAAAGGAAGTTAGTAGCAGATGCTGGGTGAGGGGTTTATCACCAAACTGCCTAATCTCTCCAATCACAAAAACCTTTGGTCTTCTCCCTCTGTTTCCTTACCTGCTTATGTAGGAGGAAGCCTGTCAGCATCATAGACAGACTCTTTTGCCGCATGCTTTCGTCATCTACAATTTCTTTTTTTGTTTCTTTTTTTTAAGATTTTATTTATTTATTATGTAGTCAGTGTTCTGCCTGCATGTATCCCTGCAGGTCAGAAGAGAGCACTAAATCTCATTACAGATGGTTGTGAACACATGTGGTTGCTGGGAATTAAACTAAGGACCTTTGGAAGGGCAGGCAAAACTCTTAACCACTGAGCAATCTGTCCAGCCCCATCATCTACAATTTCAAACCATTTACAAATGGATTCATCCTGTGGGTTCAAGAGGGTTTGTCCCTTGTCAATTGTATGTTCTATAAGTTCACTGAGTTCTTCTGAAAATAGTTTACTGTCTCCAAACATTCGCATTCTCCCAACCCTCATCCTTTAGAAAGAGGCTCAGCAGCTTCTACACATGCTGGGTTGTTCTCAGCTCATAGCAGTCCTCCAGCTTCAGGCTCCTAAGTGCTGAAAATAGTGACTAGTGCCACACCTGACTCAGAACAGCAGCTGTTGAAGCATGGGCCTCTTGAAGTCACTAAGGCACTGTTAAGGGGATAAAATGTCAAACTACCTTTATAGTTCATGTTATGTGCTCACAGTGTAACAGTAACGTGTGTAACAGTGAATCTGTTGGTATCTTGACAAGAGTTAAGCTGTGGAACTGAATTATAATAAGTTACTAGTCACACACACACACACCTTCCACTTATTAATCGCAAGATAAAGAACAGCTTCCAATTAAAATTGTATTTTCTTTGTGTGTGTTTCCTTATCTAAGATAGTCTTGTGTTACCAGGCTGGCCTCAGACTTCATATGTAGCTGAAACTGGACTTGAACTCCTGGTCTTCCTGCTTCTGCCTCCCAAGTGCTGAAGATTACATGGGTGTGCCTCTTTAAGCAATAAAATTTAACTTAATTAAATCAACCCCTTGAGTTCACATCTTTTCTGTATCTTTGGTGGAGTAGGAAATGTTTGGAGTGAATTCTGCTACATTCTAAGATGTTAGTCTCAAGGAAAATACTGTTTGACAGAACTAGCCTACTTGGACTGGTCAGATGCCATCAAACTTGGAGATAAGAGTTCAACCCACAGAACTCATGTAAAGGTGAAAGGAGAAAACTGGTTCCATGAAGTTATCCTCTGACCTTCACAAATGCACCATGACATGTGCATCCACATACCTCACATATATACATCATCATCATCATCATCATCATCATCAATAGTTAAACCTACACTGCTACAGCCTATCCTGAAGAAAAGAGTCTCTTCAACAGAGAGTGCCAAGAAACAGCTGTGGAGAGACATTGGATAGTTGAAAAAACTACAGAATTACATCAGTCAATATACTTTAAAGATGTACTGACCTCAGAATAGAAACCAGCACATGTGCCACTTTGGGGAAGGGGTTTTGCTTTTGTTTCCACAGAAGAAGAAAAGCTATGGATATCATCAAAATTGATAAAGATTCGATTTGAACAAGAAACACCTCTTAATTTAGTTCATTAAGCACTATGGTCATTTAATCTAAACTAACCTATAAAACTAACAATGCTTTTCATTTGATCAGATATAACTTGCCAAAAGAGAATCTCCCCAAAATTAGGGTTTGGGAAGGGCTTTGTTTTTGTCTTTTCAGGAGAATAAAGTCATCCAGCTAAGGAATCTGAAGACCATTGGACAAATGAGATATCTAAAGAAAAAGGACAAATCATCCATAAAAAGTTTCTCAAGAAAAAGAGTAAATTGGCATTTTGGCATATCAATCACATTTCCAACAGGATATCCAACAGGATTTCATATATCTTCCCAATTGTTTGTTTCTGCTGTTCTCTACAGACATATAAACAAATGGTCTTTTTAAAAGAAATTTTTATGATTTATTTAACTTTATTTTATATGTATTGGTGTGAAGGTATCAGATCCCCTGGAACTGGATTTACAGATAGTTGCGAGCTGTCATGTGGGTACTGGGAATTAAACTGGGTCCTCTGGAAGAGGCAAGAGGAATTGCTGTTAGCTGTTGAGGTATCTCTCATTTGCCGACTGCAACAAATGGTCATTTTGTAGCTCCCAATACAATTAAAGATTAAAATTGGCCTTGGAGTTAGAGTGTGACTCTCTCCTTCTCTAACTTCAAGCATGCTTATTAAAGTAAAATCCAAAATCTGTTCCACATCAGAAGAACCACCTGATATGGGACAGAAGAAAAATAAAAATTTAAGGACTATTTTATTGCCAATAATCTCATAATCCTTTGGCTTTATATTGATTCTTTAACAACTTTTCTTGATGTATAAATTTTATAAGTTTAATGCATATATATATATATTGAACTTTTTGTCATGATATTAATGGTCATATAGAGTACTCATTCTAGAAAAAAGTTTTATCTACCTTCCTGTACATGATTTTGGGTTTGAGTCTCTATTAGTTTTCTACAGTGAACCATGAACATGCCTAAAAGCAACTTTTGAAATCTCCAAAAGAAGAAGGGGGCACTACAATGATGATTCCTCCAAGACTGTGATAACATCACTAAGCTGAAAAACACCACCTAAAGATCAACTTTGGACTACAAAGTGCTCAGAACAATTTCGAGGTGGCTAGCTGAGATGATCCAGCCTCACAGACTACTCTTACCAGGACTGAGACAAGTCCTTCACTTTCCCATTACACAGAGAATGGACAACAAATGAAACAGCTACCTCTCCCAGGACTTGACAATTAACCAAAATTTTTCTTTTCAGGATCCCCTAAAGGTCTTGTTGCCCCAGACAGCAGGAAGTAAATTTAAGAATACAACATTCTCATTCCCATGAGGTGAGTGGGTGGTTTTTGGTTTTTCATTGGATTATGAATATTTCTTATTGTTTAGGGGAATTAGTTACAAGTCATTATTGGTTATGGCCAAGAGGAAAGCCTTAGAAATATTATTGCCAACTGTTTAGGAAAATAAGGAAATGTAGTTTAGTAGTTAATCACCTATTATAATTGAACTTAGGTATGTGTCCAAGGTCAAACAAAGATATATTTTAGATAGATAGGTCATCTTCAGACACTTCAGAGATCTACAGAATATGGCATTTAAGATATTTTAATAGCATAGGTTCTTTTTTTAAATATAACAATGAGACATGTCTGCTCCTGGCAGCACCAATCTACTTCAGAGAAGATAATGGGCGTTGAAGAAACTTCACATGGAGTTTGCTTTCTATGTGGCAAAAATCAGCCAGTGGACAAGAAAACAGCCTTTCCTCAACTGCTGACAGTGTGCTGTCCTAATTGGACAAGCAGGACACAAAAGAAAGCGACTGCCAAACATTGTCAAGACAAGGAAGGACAGCACCTCAGAATACCCGCTTCACAGCAAACTCTGTAAAATATGCTAGGCCTGTAGGCCAAAAATGGATTCCCCAACATTGCAAAGGAACTTTGATTGACTGTCCAGGCAGCCAGCTGTTTCTGTCATTTCTCACATTTTTTGGAAATCGCTCATTTGTACTCCCTGCTTACTCAGTTAATATATTTCCTTCTTGGGTCTCTGAGGAAGTTGAAGACTAGATAGTTATAGTTTTCCTTGTTTTCCAGGTGCAGAAAACAAGTTATGATAGAAAGTAAGTTAGGTACAAGACTTTGGGCTCTCCAAGATAGGATAGATATGGAGTATTTTCTATGAATTTTTCAAATGCAAATAGACTAGACATTGCTGATGTATTTATTGCCTGTATATATTGTATATAGTTATTGTACTTATTGCTTATAGTTTTTTTATATTAGTTATAGCATTCTTTTTATTTTAGACAAAAAAAGGAAACATAGTGATATTTCATTTGTATTTTAATAAATAAAGCTTTCCTGAAGGTCAGTGTAAAAGAGCCACACTAGTCAGCGACACAGGCCAGGCAGTGGTGACATACATCTTTAACCCCAGCAGCCACACTAGTTAGCCATAGAGGCTGAGCGGTGGTGGTGCACACCTTTAATCCCAGCAGTAGAGATGAATATAAAGTGGAATATAAGAAGGGAGGAGATAGGTCTCAGGCTCAGTTTCATTCTGAGGATTTGTGGAGGCAGATTTGTTATTTTGATCCGATGTAGAGGCAAGAGTCAGTGATTGGTTGCTTTGCTTTTCTGATATTCAGGTTGAATCCCAGTATCTGTCTTTGGGTTTTTATTAGTCGTACTATATATGGGGGGGCATTCTTATTCAAACCATCACATGGCCTATATTTTATTTTTTTACTATGTAAATGCTGATCAATGTAACCTACATAAAATCTTGCTGAGGATCTATTTTGCAAAGCCATATAGAGATCCTAAATCTAAAACACTGAGAATTTCTGCCCATTACAGCTCCTAGATGGGACCTAGGGAGACACTGATAAACAGCACTAGGTACAGGAGGATGGAGGTAGCAGTAAGGTTCCTGATCTCAGGTTTTAACTTTCAGAGTGGGGAATCCAAGAGCTGGGAATTTCCATAAGCCTTGATGGAAATTTCTCCAGCTCACTTCCTTGGTCAGCTGCCTGGTTCTTGTGCCTTAAACAAGTATTCTTTCTCCCATTGTATGCTTCTGGAGAAAGCCAATCAGAGTCACTGCGGTCTCTTCCCACACATTCACAGTGCTATAAAATCCACAGAGAAGGAACAAGGACCTAATTTCTCCAGGCCTTTGAAACAGCAACGATGGGAGCCCCAGCTCCCCAAGGCTTCCTCCTGCTGCTCTTGGTTGCCCTGGATCCAACTCTGACACAAACCAGTGAGTACAGGGTCCAGAAGGAAATGATCTCTGCTGGGAGAAGTGTGAGGAAACCTGGAAAGGGCTCTGGTGGCTGGGTGATCCCTGTCCCTAGGGTCTCCATCCCCACACCTTGTTCACCTCCCTGCACCTGCTACCCCTGAAAAGGAAGGAGCATTGGGTTCTTAACGTTAACGTTGTCCCCAGGGTCACACTCACTAAACTTACTTGACTTCGCCGTGTCCAGACCTGGCCTGGAGCCCCGGTACATCCTTGTTGGCTTCGTGGATGACACGCAGGTTGTGTACTTTGACAGCGACGGGCAGAGTCAGAGATTGGAGCCAAGGGCTCCATGGGTGGAGAAGATGCCGCCAGAGTATTGGAAACAATGGACACTGTCAATCAAGACCATCCAACATTTTGCCCCAGTTCTCCTACCGGCCATTATCCAAGAACATAACCAGAGCCAGAACGGTGAGTTCACGGCCCATCCAAGATCCCATGCCCGCTCTAGTTTCTCAGTGTCCCCGGGACCTAGATTTAGCCTAGAGGTTGCAGGACCAACGGAGATCCTCAACTCGGGAGTTGAGAACTGCGACTAAGATTTTGTGGTTCAGTTTTAGATCCAAATCCCATTGCGGGTCTCGGGGCAAGGTGGGCAGAGCTAACTGCGGGGGCGGGGCCAGTCTCTCACACTTTGCAGTGCTTGGATGGCTGTGTCATTGGGCCGGATAGGCGCTTCCTCCGAGGGTACAGTCGGCACGCCTATGATGGTCAGGATTACATTGCTCTGACCGACGACCTGAAAACGTGGAAGGTGGCTGACTCAGCGCGTCAGATCACCGTGCAAAGCTGGAAGAAGACTGTTCGGGCAGAGTTCCTCCGAGCTTTCCTTGAAGTGGATTGTGTGCGGACCCTCCTCAGCTTTCTGGAGATAGGCAAGGAGATACTGTTGCGCATAGGTACGATGGAGCCTAAGGGACTATGGGCACTACCCTTGGACTGTCTTGGGTTCAAATCTCCCATGAAAGGAGGAAAATGGGATCAACTGAAATATTGCCTCTCTTTGTCATTGGAAAGGGGAAGTGCTTCCCAAAGGGGAAGAGGATTTCCCGGTGTCTTTGGAGCCTGACTCTGGTGATGCTGAATCTCTCTGCCCCCACCCAGTCAGGAACCCAAGTCCATTTTTGCCAGTGGAAGACCTGGAGTCTCTTGGGCTGGTGTAATCTCATTGTAGAATTTGCCAAGGAATAAATTTCCAGATGCTGAATCTGGGCTACTCTGTTGGTACTCCTCTTCCACGCCAGTTCTCCTATGCAGTGCCAGATGGTCACGTGAGTACAAGTGCATTATTTTAGTAAAAACAAAAAATGCATGAACTTTCCAAATCTTCCTCTCAGATCCCCCAAAGGCACATGTGACTCATTACCCCAGACCTGAAGGGGACGTCACCCTGAGGTGCTGGGCTCTGGGTTTCTATCCTTCGGAGATCACCCTGACCTGGCAAAGAGATGGGGAGGACCTGACCCAGGACATGGAGTTGGTGGAGACCAGACCTGCAGGGGATGGAACCTTCCAGAAGTGGGCAGCTGTGGTGGTGCCTTCTGGGGAGGAGCAGAGATACACATGCCATGTGCAGCATGAGGGGCTGCCTGAGCCCCTCACTCTGAAATGGGGTAAGGAGGAGAATAGGCATAGAATCTGTTCCCAGAGAAACTAGAATCAAGTCTGAATACCTGAACAGGGTCAGGGCTGAAAGCTGACATCAGCCCTTCACTCTTCCTTTCCTAGAGACACCTCAGCCCACCATCCCCATTGTGGGAATCGCTGCTGGTCTGATTCCCCTTGGGGTTGTGGTCACTGGAGCTGTGGCTGCCACTGTGATGAGGAAGAAGATGAGCAGAGGTAGGAAAGGGGTTGCTTTCTGAGGGTTTTTGTCTTGCAGAGAAATTCCAATCCCTCGCTGAAATATGCCTATTTCATATTTTGTTGACATGTACATGCATGCTTACCCAATCTGGGACCATGTGTATTAACACTAGCTTTTTGGTTTCTTTCTTTCTTTCTTTCTTTTCTTTCTTTCCTTTTTTTTTTCTTTTTGAGACAGGTTTCTCTGTAGCTTTGGTGCCTGTCCTGGAACTAGCTCTTGTAGACCACGCTGGCCTTGAACTCACAGAGATCTACCTGCCTCTGCCTTCAGAGTGCTGGGATTAAAGGCGTGCACCACCATGACCCAGCCAACACTAGCTTTTTGTAAAGCATTTGTGAGAAGGATAGAAATTTCATATTGACAATTTTTGGGGATTCTTATCAGTTAAGAATCAGAGGGATGCCAGCTAAAGGGGCAGCTTCATGAGGGCATTGGGTCCTCTTCCTGCCCACACATCTCTTTTTTTTTTTTTTTTTTTTTTTTGATTTTCGAGACAGGGTTTCTCCATAGCTTTGGAGCCTGTCCTGGAACTAGCTCTTGTAGACCAGGCTGGCCTCAAACTCACAGAGATCCACCCTGCCTCTGCCTCCTGAGTGCTGGGATTAAAGGCGTGCGCCACCACCACCCGGCCCCACACATCTCTTCTTATTTGCTGATCCTACTATACACCTGTACCAGACTTAAAAATTTGCCTAATGTTTAGTCATCAGAGGTTTCCTAGGACCTCATAATACTGTGTACTCTTGGCCATTTTTCTCGTGTATGAAAAATGATATATTTATGTGCAGACAATTTCTCCAGAAATTGACTTTCCTCATTCTACTTTCACCCTTTGGCCACCTATCCCAGCACTTGACTCTCTTGGTGCATTAGGGAATACCCCACTGAGAGTCTAGCAGGGAGGCAAAGCCCAAGTCTCTCCATCACTTCCCCACATCCTGCAGTTGGGAATAGAATGGGTTCCCAGCTCCACAAGCTGAAGAATATGCTGGACCACATGCTGGAGCTTAACCCAGCAAAAGTTGACAAGGAAAACCCGAAGCTGCAGAGAATACATTTTGGCAAGGATGCCATTGTCATATACAGTTTCCAGGAGCAGCAGGGACAGTTTTCCAAGTTACAGTGACCAGCACTGGGGCACCTGTGGTGTGATCAGGGTACCTGGGTCCCGGGGAATTTGTGTGGATCCTGGTGTTGATGGGAGTGTGGATTCTGTTTCTAGCATGATGTCTCAAGCTTAGTTTTTTGGCTTTTCCCAAAACACCAAGTAAGCCCCAATATCAAATATAAAAATGTCTATGTTTAAGTAAGAATATGGATTCCATTATTTCTGGCAAGAAGAAACCAGGTTGGAGAATTTTCAGATAACAACCATCCAGAGACTTTTGTTGTATAAATTGCTTACTAAATCTTCCATCTGAGACTACACCCCAGAGTGAGAACAATTTATCAGCATAAAAGCTCAGGATTGACAGCATGTCAAACTTTACTTTCTTAAAATTCTTAAAACGCCCATCTAAGACCCTTCTCCACCATGTGTGCTGCTTTGATCACTGACATCAATAACCACAAATATTGTTCCAAAATACCCAGGTCTATTCCCAGACCCATAATTTAGATTGTGAACCATGAAGCCCAGATCTCATTTTTTTTCTTTTCTTACACAGGGTCTCACACTGCATCCCAGGCAGGCTTTGAGCTCACTGTGTAGCTGTGATGGCTAACCTTCGTCAACTTCACTGGGTTTAGAATCTCATAGGAAATGCATCCAGAATCTACTGTGAGGGGATTCCAAACAGGATGAACTGAAGAAGGAAAACTTACCCTGAATTTGGTTGGTACCATCCATAGCCAGGGATCCCAGACTGAATAAAACAGGAAAATTGAGAAAGTCAGACGAGAGCCAGTTTTCTACCTGATTCCCCATCAGTGGAGATGTGAGAAGTCCCAGTCAATGTCCCTAATGCCATGAGCTCTATCATACTCCTATGTCAAGGAGGTCTGTACTTCAGACCAAACCAAAATAAACTCTTCAGGTGAGCAAAGTAGTAATGCAGAAACCCAAGCTGACCTCCAAGTTCCATCAATGTGGGGGTTATAGGTTTGGACTCTCACACCTGGCTCCAGATCATTTATGTAACAAGATAAAATGGATACACAGCCTAGTAGTTCCTTGTCTACATCAGTCTTTCCAAGTGATCTGAACAGCAGCAGCTTCTGTCCCAAGTCTGTTACAAATCCAAAATTTCAGCTGTCAGACTTCCTGAATTTTGTTGAGATATCTAGAGAACTCCTGTGCACAGCAACGTCTGGGGATTCCTGGTCTATAGGCCTTAAGACATATGGCTTTTTCATGTATCTGGAAGTGTTTCCCCCAGTGTTTTCTTCTAGCAGTTTCAGAATTTTATTACATTAAATCTTTGGCCTGTTTTGAATTAAAAAAAAAAAAAACCAACAGGGTAATAGCAATGCAGTGTTTTTTTGGTTTTTTTTTTTTGTTTGTTTTTTGTTTTGTTTTGGCAGTGTTATTTTTCTACTATTTATTGAAGAGGTTTGTTTTTCCAATGTATTTTTTGATACTGTTGTTGAAAATCAAGTGGCTATAAGCAGGGATTATTTCTGCGTCCTCTACTTCTTTTATTGGCCAATTGTACCATGCTGGTTTTGTTAATTTGAGATAGGCACTGTAATTCTTCCGGCATTGCTCTTTCTGCCGATAATTACTTTGGCTATTCAAGGTCTTTTCTCCTTACATATGAGTTTTAGCATTATTTTCTCTCATTCTTTGAAGAATGTTATTGGGATTTCTATTGGATTTACACTGATTTTCTAGATTGCTTTCAGTATTACAGTCATATCCAGAATATTAATTCTGTATATTTATGAACATCTAGCATGAATCCGTATGTTCACAAATGATCTTCTAGTATCCTCCTACATTTCTTAACTGTTTTCTATTTGCTTGTTTGTTAGTTTGTTTATGTAGAACAGATTGGCCCCAAAGTTTGGACTTCCTGAGTCTTGGATTACAGATGAGTCACCAGGTCCAGGCTTCTTTGGTACTTACAGTTTTACTTATAGATGTTTTTAACCTCTTTATTTAGGCTTATTCCTAGGTATTTAGTACTTTCTCATAGCAACTATGAATGAGATTGTTTTCCCAATCTTTCTCACTCTGTTCCCTGTTACTTTGCTGAAAGTATTTTATGTAATTTCAAATATAAGAACATGACATCTATAAATAAAGATCATTTGATGTCTTCCTTTACTGGTGTCCTGGTCGTCTCTTACTACCCTGGCTAAGATTTCAGGAACTGCCTTGAATAAGAGCAGAGAGAATAAACCAGGCGTGGTGCATGCCTGTAATCCAACACTTGGGAGGCAGAGGCTGGCAGATCTCTGCGAGTTCAGGTCAGCCTAGTCTATGCAGTGAGTTCTAGGCCAACCAGGGCTATATAGAGAGAACTTATCTAAGAAAAAAAGGAGGGTGGTAGAGAGAATAAACAGTCTTTATCTCATTCTGATTTTCAGGAAACGTTTTTCAGTCTCCATTGCCACTTAGTATAATGTTTGCTGTGTTTGTTTTATATACAGCACTTGTTATGTTGAGGTACATTCCTTCTATCTCTAGTTTCTTCAGGACTTAAATTTACCTAAAGGATGTTGGATTTTGCCAAAGGCCTTTACTCCATCTACTGAGATGATCCTGTAACTTCTTTCTTTACAACTATTATTTGCCATATTACATTTGTTGACTGGCCTAGGCTGTGATTACTTGATGTTTTGAGATGTGTGGAGGAAGCTGCTTTGTTCTTTGTATCATGTTAAGGAAGTCTTTGTCTTACCCCTCATGACTGGGGTATAAAAGAACTTTAAATAATAAATTTGAGGCGGATCAGGGAACATACAGATCAGTTGGGCTAAACATGACAATGGGTTTTTTAAATTAGCATACTACTTAATGGTACTCTGATTTTCTTACAATCTGATGTAATGTTACCCTTTCATTTCTAAATTTATTAATTTGAGGTTTTTTCACTGTTTTTGAGACAGGGTTTCACCATATATCCCAAGCTGGCTTGGAACTTACTATGTAGCCCAAGTTAGCCTTGAACTTCCAACAATTCTCCTGCCTCCACCTCCTGAGTATGTAGGTTTTATCATCATGCCTGGACTTACTCACTATGGGTTTATAACCACAATGGCATGGGAACAGTACAAGCACTAGGAGCAGGTTTGTTATGTGAATGAGCAACAAACATGTCCTGGAGAAAGCCCCACACATGAGCTAGAAACATAAGGATAGAATTGTTATTGCTCCTTTTTTCTTTTTAAAAGCATAACTCTAAGAAAAGAGAAGTAAAAACTATCAATGGTGTAAACTGTGTAAACAGGCCAGGTAATTAGTTTTTAGCATATTCAGTTATAGTCCTATATATCTTCGGGGATTAATTTAAAAATATCAATGAATAAAACTTCATTTCCATGAAGTAATTGTAAACAGTATCACTTATAAATACATCCTTGGGGGGCAAAAACTATCAAGTCTAGGTATCAACTGCTGTAAATCATAGGTGGGCAGTTGTCACTAGGGGTGCGGCAAAGGGCTTTGAGAGCAAGCACATGAGGGCTCCACATGGAAACTGATTCTCCGCTTTTCAGCCTGACCAGGTACAGGGTTTTCCCGTGAAGCCCAGTGGCTCCTGGCTCCAGATCACACTGTCTAAGCACTGCAATTATAGGCATTTGCCACCCTACCAAGCTTAAAATGTTTCCTCTCATGTTTTCTGATCTGAGATCCAAGGCTAGGGCTTTCCTCTAGGACTTCATAACCCTGCATCCTCTTTGGTTCATGTCTTCATAGTAGGAAAATGGTGTCCTTACCACTCAGACCATTTCTCCAGAAATTGATTCTCAGCATTCCATGTCTACTCCTGAGCCATATGTCCAGAATTTTCGGTTTTCACTCTCTTCCCACATTAGAGCAGTGGGGTCTCAACTTTCTTCTTCTTCTTTTTTTGTGGCAAGGTCGGGGGGCACAGGGTTTCTTCGTAGCTTTGGAGTTTGTCCTGGAACTCACACTGTAGACCAGGCTGGCCTTGAACTCACAGAGATCTGCCTGTCTCTGCTGTTCTCAACCTTCTTCATGCTGTGACCCTTTAAGACACTTCTGGGTACTTATGTGGGTGTTTCTGCATGTGGTTGGACTCAGCTGGAGACTGATAGGAGCAGTGTCTCAGTTCCTAAGACCATCAGAAATAAGTGTTTTCCATGGTCTTAGGTTATCCCCAAAGGAGTCATGACCCACAGATTGAGAAACCCTGCAGTAGAGACTAGAAATGAAGCCAAGTCCCTTATCATTTTCCCAGGCATTCCTGCAGCTGGGCATGGCCACATGTTGGACCTTGCTTCAGCACCTGGTGGTAAGGAAAAGCTGGAATTGCATAGAATGCATTTGACATTGCCACACTGAGTTTCATGGGGCAGCATAGAAGCTGTCTCAACCACAGTGACCAGCTGCAGAGTGGTCAGTGACTCCTGCGCCCCGTGAGTCCTGCATGGGATCTGATGCTGATGCGTTTGTGGGTTCTGTTCATAACTGTGATATCTTTTTTTTTTTTCAAGACAGGGTTTCTCTGTGGTTTTGGAGCCTGTCCTGGAACTAGCTCTTGTAGACCAGGCTGGTCTCGAACTCACAGAGCGAGAGCTGGGCGCCACCACCACCTGGCATAACTGTGATATCTTAAGCTACAATTTCACATATAAAGTCCCTTTATATATAAGCAAGAATTTGGATTCTAATATTTGTATGCAAAGCAAGAAACCATTTTAGGAAATTTCAGGTAGCAAGCATTCACAGACATTTGCTATATGAATTGTTGTCTCTTAAACTCTATCTATCCATGGGGAAACAAAATACATCTCTTAATATGACATTTCAGGACTGATGACACATGTCCTCTTCCCTTTTACTTCTTGAAAAAAATTAAATGCTCATTTGAAGCTCATCTCTATCATGTTTGATGTTCTGATCAGTAATATCAGTGGCCTCAACTCAAATCTTGTCCATATTTTTTCTAAGACCCACCATTTAGATGCTAACTTTTTTTTTTTTTTTTTTTGGTTTTGGTTTTTCAAGGCCTGGTTTCAATGTGTAGCCCTGGCTGTCTGGGAACCAGGCTGTCTTAAACTCTGAGATCTTCCAGCCTCAGAGTCGTGCTCTACCACATAGGGGGGCTCCTTAACAAGCAGGAAATCAACCCCCAAGGAATGCTGCCCAGCAGGGAACAAATCTTCCTTTTCTACAGGAAATTTACATTAGAAAAGGTCTCATTCTTATCAGTGAAGAGGGCACTTGCTTCAATCTGCATAACAAGTTTTTATTCATTTACCACACTTTCCCTGACCTCCTTCCTGTGATCCAACTCCCCTCCTCCTGCTCACTCAGTTCACTCTGCTTCCTGAGTGCTGGGATGAAAAACCTGTGCCACCAAAGCCCAGCGGTTGCTGAACATTTTTAAAGCAAGGCTTCACACTGTCAGACAGGCTGGTTTGGAACTCACGAATGATGGCTACTCTTCACTGAAAACTTGAGCAGATTTAGAGTCTCCTAGAAGATGCATCCCCAAGAATGTCCTTGAGGGTGTTTCCAAGAGAGAATTAACTGAACTTGGGTTTCACCAGTCCATGCTCTGGGGCGCAGACTGAATCAGAGAGGAGAAGGAGAAAGCCAGAGGAGGGCCAGCATTCCCCACTCTCGCGGAGCTCCAGCCACATGCCCCAGCAGTCATGAACCCACCAGGCCTTCCTCACTGTGATGGACTCAGCTCTCCTAAATCATGAGTCAAAATAAATTCCTCTTCCCTCAAGTTGTTTCTGTCAGGTCTTTAGTCGGGGAAGACGGGAAAAGTTAATACTGACCTTGAACTCTAGGAAATTGTCCTGTGTCTTCCAGGATTACAAGTGTGAATGACCACACCTGGCCCTGGTAATCACTTAGGCAATAGGCAACAAGCTGTGAGGCTGATACATATAGCCTAGAGGTTCCTGGTCTACATTCTTGACCATGGTATATGATTTCTAGAAATATATATTAAATTTGTTTATAGTTATTTTTGCACCCATATTCACCAGATAATTAAGAATTGAGCCATAATTTTTAGAGTTGTTATGCAGTATGGTTAGCTTCATAAAATGAGTTTTGTAATGTTTCATTTCTATTTTATGGAATAATTTGAGGAGCATTAGTTTTGTAGAACATTAGTTTAAGATGTGTTACATTTGTTTATAATGTAGAACATTTGTTTAATGATGCAAAGATATGTTGCATTCTTTTATGTTACATTTGTTTCATTCTGTAAAGCTGTGTTACTTTGCCAGCCTAAGAAACCTGATGGGTCTAATAAAGAGCTGAATGGCCAATAGCTAGGCAGGAGAGGAATAGGTAGGGCTGGCAGGTAGAGAGAACAAATAGGAAGAAAAATATAGGCTAGAGAGAAGAGGGAGGAGCGAGAAAAGGAAAAGGAGAGGAGGATACCAGGGGCTAGCCACCTAGCACACAATCAGCCATGGAGTAAGAAGGAAAGAGAGTTACCTAGAATAAAGAAAGGTAAACCACCCAGAGACAAAATGTAATTAAAGAGAAATGGGATAATTTAAGTTAGAAAAGCTGGCTAGAAACAAGCCACGCTAAAGCCAGGCATTCATAAGTAAGAATAAGTCTCTGGTTCTCTACTCAGCAACTATGAATTCCTACTTTCTCAACTTTTTGGTATCAAGAAAATAAACTAGTGAGCTTTTCCTGCCAAGATTGGACACTTGAGTTCAATCTCTGGGACTCATGTGGTGAAAAGAGTAAACTGTCTTACACAAGCTGTTCTCTGGCACACACAGACATAGACACACACTCACAAAATAAATAAGATCGATAATAAAGAAAATGAATCCGCTGGGCCGAGGAGCTGGCTCAGTGGTTAAGAGTACTGGTTACTCTTCCAGAGGACCCAAGTTCAATTCCCAGCACCTGTATGGTGGCTCACAACTGTAACTCCAGTTCCAGGGCATCTGATGTTCTCCTCTGACTTCCTTGGGTACCAAGTATGTCCATGGTGCACAGACACATATGCAGACAAAACACCCATATGCAAAAAATAAATTTATTTAAAAAAAATTAAGCCAGCTAAGATGACACATACCTTTAACGCCAGCCCTCTGGAGGCAGAGGCAGGCAAATCTCTTGTGAGTTCAAGTTCACCCTGCTCTACATAGTGATTTTCAGGACAGTCAGGGTTATATAACAGAAAGACCCTGTCTCAAAATAAAAAAAAAAAAATACTGAATGGGGGAAATAATCTGGTGCATTCACCTTGGTGAATAAATTCTCCCCATATTAAAACCTTGCTTCATGGCTTTCAATGAGCTCTGAAGATTGTGTCTGAAAGGCTGGGTTAACTCTAGAGTAATCTAAGCTAAGGGAAGGTGCTGCTTCAGTTGGTGGTAGGAAGTGATGAAATATGAATGCCTATTATATTCCCTTTTCTAATCTTTTTCCTTTTCCTCCCTTAGACAGGGATCCTTCTTTTGTACAGTACCTATACATACCTTATCATAACCCTTGCCATGTTACCTGGTGGCAGAGTGAGTCGCAACCATGAGTTCTTCCCTACTCAATGCCAAGGACTTCTCTTCAGGGTTGTGTGAAGTTTCTGCTGAATTAATGACTTTATTGTTGTTTTCTGTACACGGGGAAAGTCTTCTACAACATTCACTCATCTCCAGTAATAAACACAATGTCTAGCACATAGGAAGAGTCTCAAAACTAAACTTTTCATACAAATAAACTATATGTTCTAAGTCAGAAATTCAGGGACTAGTTAAAATTTCTCCAGTAAAAGCACCAAAGTACCCACCAAAGCGTAAGAACTGTAGTAACATTATTAAGTTAACGTTGAAAGTTGGAAGCAGGAAGAACCAGAGATCCCGGCAGATGAGAAAACCTTATTCACTACTATTGCACAACTAGGTCTTCCCAGCTGGGGGAGCTAACATGTCCCACAATGCTCATAATCCTCCATAAATCTGATGAGAAGTTGTTCTTACTTTAAAAACAAGAAAATGTTTAAAAAGATAAGCTGGACTGGCAAAAATGACTCAGTGAGGGCTAGAGAAATGGCTCAGTGGTTAAGAGCATTGCCTGCTCTTCCAAAGGTCCGGAGTTCAATTCCCAGCAACCACCACATGGTGGCTCACAACTATCTGTAATGAGATCTGGTGCCCTCTTCTGGCCTGCAGGCATACACGCAGACAGGATATTGTATACATAATAAATAAATAAATATTTTTAAAAAAATGACTCAGTGAGTAAAGGTTCTTGCTGCCATGCCTGATGACCTAGGTTCAATCTCTAGGTCCCACATGATGGAAGAGCACCAACTCTTGCAAGTTGTCCTCTGACCTCCACACTGACCCATGGTGGTACACACACACACACACACACACACACACACACACACGCACACACACGCACATATACCACAATAGATAAATATAATCCAAAATTTGTTGAAAGGACAATTTGAACAAACACAAAGAAATTAGAAATATCTAGGCAACCTTTCAAGCCCAGACTGTCTGATCACGATGGATGTATGTAATAGAAATACCACCACTCATCAACTTATGCAGACAACCAGAACACAAAAAAAACAGGTTCATAGAAGAATCAAGGTTTCAGGCCAGCCAGTGGTGGCACATACCTTCAATCCCAGCACTTGGGACGCAGAGGCAGGCAGATCTCTTGAGTTCAAGGTCAGTAGGATCTACAGAGTAAGTTCTAGGACAGACAGAGAAACCCTGTCTGAGAAAAAAGCAAAAAAGAAACAGTTTCATCACCAAAGCTCTGAAATTTTACTGATCCTTTAATTTTCCTATTTGAGTTCTCAAAAAGGGTGGCACAGCCAGGAATCTCCTTCCACACGGTTTTATAATTGTGCTCACTTCCTCTTCGTCCTGAGATTTTTCCATAAGAATATCCACTTTAATCCGACTTGTACTGGACGGCTGGAAAAGTGGGTACGCAACAACCCTTTCGAACTCCTTTATCTCTTTCTTCCCTCGACCGCGCCTCTCAGGTAGTGGAATCTGGCTCTGGCTTTTTCTCAAGATTGTTTCTTTGAGTCTTTGCTGGAGAAGCTCGCGCCCTCGAATCATGCGTTCTCGATGGTCTCTAATTTGGTGCAGCTCTCTCTCGTTCACCTGCCTTCTTCTCTGTGCTTTCGGGGTGCTCTGCTTTTCTGGCACAATCTTGGGGAGTATGGTTTCACTGAGGAGTCGGGTCTGCCTCCAGACTTTGTTCTTAAATTCTCTGGCCTGGCCTGCTCTGAGAATGTGCCTTTCTATCTGTTTCTTCTCTCTCTCGGGCACAAAATAATGCAGTTTGTGTCCCTCTGTGCTTGGTGGCGTTTCCTCTTCCACTTTCGTCTTTGTTTCCCCGCTGGTGTCTTCTTTTTTCATCATCTCCACTATTCTTTTATTATAGTAAGACTCGGCTTTTGCCAGCCAGTAGTCAAGAGAACGAGCTTGCTCCCTGCAGAGCGCTCTGCTCTCCTCTCGGCATTTCCGGGTCACCAAGTGTCTCGCTGCTGTAGTGTGCACACCACCAAGACTCTGTCAAAGTGAGGGTCAGAGTTTTATAATTTTCCCTTCAAACACATTTAAAAGCACTTTGCCCTCCTCAATACTATCAAGGAAGGAGTCTTGGTACATGTCTTAATCCCAGAACTCTGAAATCATAAGCAGATGGATACAGACACACACAAACACACACACACACACACACAGCATTTACATACTTCAGAGTAACGATTCAAATTTTAAGCTCCATGCTCCCAGGCAAGTCTGGTTGTTTTGAAACTACCCAGTACCCATCACCAATAAGTTACTAGGTTTTAAAAGCCAGACTCTGGACGTTGGTGTTGGGACAATTTCCAGGCGCGGAAGCTGCGCCAGAGGAGTACCACCTCAAAGTGCCGCCTGTGCAGAAGGATTTTAAACCCCAGGCTCCTTTTCTGGGTAACTCCAAACTGTACAGTCTACAATTTATTTACCAGGAGCCTTTTCTCCAGTGGAGACTGTTGACCTTCTGCAATCCTAGGGTCTTTGGATGCTTTTGCCCAAGCCAGTCTGGAAGATAAAAAAAACCAAAGGTAGATTGGAATGTGGGGGATGCCACATTTGCTCACCCATCCTCCCTCCCGGTCAAAGAACTCAAATATCTGGCCAACAGCAAAGGCCATTTCTCCACTGAGAAACCACTGACTTTCCCACGGTGCAAAACGATGAAGGTCATTCTTTTCACGTGAACTAAAACCAGACCTCTCCTGTGGACTCAGTGTGAACCACTCAGAATCTTGTACTTGGGACTGAAAGAGGGGAGGAACAGGCTCTTTGGTGAGGGGTGGCCTGAGGACTCCCAAAGCAGACTGTTCAGTCTCAAGGCCTCTTTTGTCCTCCGAGGTAACTCTAGGCTCTCGTTTTGTCAGCTCACTGTCTCTCTGCACTTTATCCAACCAGGCCCTTTGTGCCTCTATCAGCACATACAGCATCTTTGCTCTGTTTTGTTCTGAGATTCTATTCTTGTTTGGTCTGTCCCTCTGGCAAACATCCTTCACCCTAAATCTGTTTTGAGACTATTCCTGTTGAGACCCTGCAGGCAGAGCTTTGTGGCCCTCTGTGTTTGTTTATCAAGCTGACGGCACAAGTGAAGACCACTAAGGTTTTATGAGTCATTCCTGCTCAAACCTGAGTTTACTGTGAGGTCGCATTCAGGCCACTGAAGCTGACTAACACACAGCATGGGATCCTCAAACTACAGTCAAAAGCAAAGGCTTTGAGGACTGAGAGGAAAAAAAACTGAGCCATAATTCTATTTCCTCAACATATGCTGCAGGGCAAGCCAACTACAGTTTCCTTACTTATAAAGTACAGATGTAAGACAAGAACTACCTCTCAGGGTCATAAAGAACAAGCGTGGTTTAGTGTAAAGAGAGTACATGGTACATTCTCAGTAAACATCAGCTACCTGCCCGTTACAGGTGAGCCCCTTGGTCTCTAGGAGTGTTCCTAGTATACCTCATCAGAGATTCTCCTTCCTCTGCAATTTCATTTGAAACTTAAAAGTCCATCACTATTGGGGGCTGGAGGATGGCTCCATGATTAGGAGCACTGGCTGCTCTTCCAGAGGACCTAGGTTCGAGTTCCAACACCCACATAGCAATTCATAACCATCTGTAACTTCAATTATAGGGGACCAGACTCCCTGTTCTGACCTTCATGGGCACCAGGCATGCAATGTGGTATACATACATACATGCAGGCAAAACTCTCAAAACAAATAAAAATATTTGTAAAAGCTGATCACTATAGTATGGTATCTATGGTCATAATATAACATTTTAATATTGAAATTTAGAAGTATATAAACTATAAGGCAAAACCACAAGCAGTTGTTTATAATATGGAAGAGGCTCTAAAATATAATATTTTGTTCCACTGACTTCTTATATATTCCTTTAAGAAAAGATTTGCTTATTTCTATTTTTTTTTTTTTTTGTTTGCTTTTTATTTTTCAAGACAGGGTTTCTCTGTGTAGCCTTGGCTGTCCTGGAACTCACTCTGTAGACCAGGCTGGCCTTGAATTCACAGAGATTTGCCTGCTTCTACCTCCCAAGTGCTGGGATAAAAGGTGTGCATCACCGCTGCCTGTCTTTATTTCTATTTTTAATGTGTTCTGTTGCTTTGCCTACATGTGTCATAACATGTAGTGCACTCAGAAACCAGAAGAGGGCATCAGATTCTCTGGAACTGGAGTTAACAGTCGTTAGCTGCCAAGGGTTACTACTAGGCCATCTCTCCAACCCTTCTTAGACACTCTTACTTGCTCATAGTTAGAGATTGAAAAAATTACCATCCTAGAACTTGACATGGAGGTTTCATGCCTGTAATCACACTTAGGCTGAGACAAGAGGAGTACTATGAATTCTAAGTCAGCTTCACTATGAGACTGCCTCCACAAAATAATGACCACCTCACTTGCATTTCTTCTTTATAAAATATTTATTTTTACTTTATAATATGAACGTTTGTGCACCACTTGCATGCTGTGTGTCTGTGGAGGCCCAAAAAGGGCATTGGATCTCTTGGAACTGGAGTTATAGACGGCTGTGAGTACCCATGTGATGTGGATGCTGGGAAGTAAAGCAGGGTCCTCTGGAAGGCAGCCACTTCTCCAGCCCCATACTTTCATTTCTTGCACAAGGCATCCAGTGGAGTACTATGATTGTTAAGTCTCAAAATTAGGACTGTTTAGTATCACACAGTAGCTATCATAATTTAACTTAGTAGTAAAGGGCTTACCTACCAAAGCACTGGGGTCTACCCCAACAGGCACGCACACACCATATTTATTTTAGAAACAGGCGTTTATTACATGTGGAGACTGGCTTAGACCTTGCTCCTCAGCCCAAGATGGCCTCAAACTCACAACCCTCCTGACCCAGCTTCCCTAGTGCATGCACCACCACACAGGCATGCTGCATTTTTTCCTTAGAGCATGTACCTATTATATCCCTGTAGACTTTATGTCCCTGGCTCAAACACCTACGAGTGTACTTTCTCTGTATTCTAACTATTAATCTGTATTAAAAGAGAGAACACAGACTTCAACTATGCAATCCCAGTCTCAGCTCCAAACCTGGCACGGGTGCTCAGTTCTTATTGGATAGACAGAGCTTTTGCTGGGAAAGGAAAATCGTGCCTTACGCTGTTTGTGTTCCTTTACTGCACTAAAGGCAACAGTCAAACCAAGTGGCTGTCTGACAAATGTCAAACTTTAAAGGGAAAGTGGGGTTAATTTCAATTTCTAGTTTGAAAGAAGACAAGGGGGTGAAATTTAAAATGCCCTACTCACACAGGGCTCGGCAACAGAGCTTTATTAGACAAGCAAAATGTCACCCAATTTCACCCCTAAGTAAAATGACAGGGTCTAAATAAAATGATGTCCTTTCGACATCTTGCTGAGGGTTTTTTGAGAAACCCTCTCTGGAAACAAAACAAAAAGACCAGCTTTAGCATGGCAATCAGGTTGGCTGCTGGAGGGCTGGGAACACCGTCTTCAAGCCGGTCCTTCTTCGGCTCACTAGTTTATTCCTTACTTTGTAGCCTTTAGGTGAACGAAATACCTACCCCATTGTTCACTTAGCGGATGGCAAGTATTTAAACACGGGTGAATGGGAACTTAGGGGAGTGGAAGTGGTCAGCCAGTGAAAGCCAAACCTAATCCCTAGTAAATCAAAAGAGGCGCTTTTGATTAATGCTAGCCTCCGTCATCTGACAAGAACCCAAGGAGAGAAGAGCCCTAACCTCACTCGTTCCACCACTTCCAAATCCCTAAAAAATCCTTCTCGAATGTCACCGTCACCATTCATCCCCTGCTCGGTTCGCAGCCGATTCACTCAAGTGCTCAGGGCAGCAACCGGCAGGGGGAGGCAAAAGGAAGCACGAGGATGCTTCTTAGCTTTGCTTCTCGCTCTGAGCGGCCGCGAAAGGCGGAAAACGTCTCGGGAACCGGCGGGAGCTGTAGTCCTCTTAACCCGAGGGTTAATCAGTTGCTCTGGAAAAACCAGTCCATTTTTTTTTTTTTTTTGGGGGGGGGGGGCTGCTAAGTGTAGGATTTCCTACGGAAGAACAGACCAGGATTTGCGCGCAGAGGGAAAGCAGCGGGCGGTCCAACCCTGGCTACTCGCCTTGGCGGAGCCGACGTCACAGTTACCGGACCGTGTGCGGCCTCCAATTCCCTTTCGTTAGAGATTCGCCTCCCTCCCTAGCGCTCGCTCGACCAGAAGCGCCACTAATTATGACGTCACGGCCCAACAGCCGCCCGGACGCGAGGGCGCTCTAGGCCGCCGGGCGCACTCGCTGCCGACGCCCCGCGAGCCGGCGCTCTAGCCCTCGGCTGGGCTCTGGGTTCTCGTTGCACCACCTCCAAGGCAGGACCCCTGTGTCTCACTAATAAACTTCCCTTCGCTCATCTGCCATGGAACTGGCCAGCCCCCACTCCAACTTTCAATCAGACTTGGATTTCTGCCCGGATTGCGGCTCGGTCCTGCCGCTGCCCGGAGCTCAGGATACTGTCATCTGCCCTCGCTGTGGCTTCTCCATAGACGTGCGAGGTGAGGGGTTAGTACCACCCAGCCGAGGGTGCAGTGGAAGGGTCCGTGCTGGGGTGGTGGGGGTGACTTCAGCACTGGTTGGGCTTAATAGGCGAGACCTAGAGCAGGAATCTGACAGCCGGACTGATCCAGGGGGGAAACTCGAGTGGGGTATGTGACCCACCTGCCAGAGTGTTGCTGGGACTTGTGGCCTCCTCCGTCTTTTCTAATGTTAACTTTTTCACTTCCTGGGCAGATTTCGAAGGGAAGGTTGTGAAGACCTCGGTTGTGTTCCACAAACTGGGGGCGGTCATACCTACATCGGTGGACGAAGGACCTGAATCCCAGGGACCAGTGGTAAGTTGATAAGAACTGGCTCCCAAAGAACAATGGTCAGGTGACTGTGGGGACCTGGTTTTGCACTCCTCCATTCCTGGAGAATTTCTGGGAGGTGTAATAGTTTGATTGCTGTACAAAGCAGAGACTTATTGTGATTAGGTCTCTATAACCCATCTGCTTCGTCCTAGGTTGACAGGCGCTGCCCTCGATGTGGTCATGAGGGAATGGCGTACCACACCAGACAGATGCGCTCAGCTGATGAAGGACAGACTGTCTTCTATACCTGTGTCAACTGCAGGTGAGAATCTTCCTCCCCTACCCCTTCCCGCCCTTTCTCTGTGCAAACAACAAAAGCAGTGACAGGCTGGTACTAAGTATTTCATTTGGTCCAGTCCATAATAGGGAGGCTTGTACCCCTTTTTTTATTACTTGTGTTTTTTGAGATAGGTGACCACTCTATATACCCAGGCTAGCCTTGAAAGAACTCTCACCCAACCAGACAGCCCAGGTTGGCCTCTTTTGTTTGTTTGTTTTTCGAGACAGGTTTCTCTGTTGCTTTAGATTAGAGCCTGTCCTGGAACTAGCTCTTGTAGACCAGGCTGGCCTCAAACTCACAGAGATTCACCTGCCTCTGCCTCCTGAGTGCTGGTATTAAAGGTGTGCACCACCATCGCCCGGCTTGCCTCTGCTTCCTAAATGCTGAGATTCTTGCATTTGCCACTTCACCTGACTTGTTAAAAAGATGTTTTTGTTTGTTTTAGTTATTTGTAGGTGTTTTTAGGTGCATATTCAAATAAGCAGGAGATGTTAAATCCCCTGGAGCTGGAGACACAGGTAGTTGTGAGCAGTTGGATGTGGGTGCTGAGAACTGAACTTGGATCCTCTGCAACAGTGTGAGCTCTTAACTGCTGAGCTATCTGAACAGCCCCCTTACTCTTTTGACAGCCAGTGAACTAAATCTTTTAAGATAAAGGAAAGCTGGGTGTGGTGACCTGAAGGAGGATTATTCATTCAAGGCCAGCCTGGGCTACACTGAGACTCAGTCGCACACACCAAAACCTACCTGGCAGGAAATTTTAAAACACAGACATTGGTTTGCACAGTGGTATGGTATGATGAAATCTTCCACCACAAAAGGGGTGACTGTATATAATTAATCTTGCATGATTCAAAGAACATGGCCTGAGTAGTTGTCTAGTTCCACTGTAGAACATGAGCATGTGGCTTTCTGTATTTTTGCTTCTTGTTATTGTTTTCCTCCTTCCTGGGGTACTGCCAGCTTTATTCCAAAGGAAGTGCTCTGCCCTCCGCTGTACCCTGAGCTCGCTCCTGTTTGCACTTTTCCCCTTTCTTTTTTATTTCCTTATCCTCCTGTTTCCACCTCTCAAATGCAAGGATTCCAGATTACAGGCGTGTGCCACCAGAGCTGTTTCTTCTGGTGCTGAAGATTCAACCCAGAGCTTCGTGAGAGCTACATAAGCATTGTACCAAGTGCTCTACATGTCCAGCCCCTGAGTAGGCTTTCTGAAGCTGAGAATTAAACTTATCGGCTGTTACCTCATTGCAGCGTGGCTTGTCCCCCATGCTCTCAGATTAGTTATTAGACGTCCACAGTTCTCATCTTGTCCCCTGTATCTTCTATCCCGTGTCTGCTTATATTGTCTTCTGGGTCACTGCTCCAGGCCTTTCCTGCAGATCATTAGGTCTGCCTTCAATCTGTATGTGTACGTGGTGGTGAGGGTGTATGATGTATGGTGTATTCGTGTGTATGTGCACATGTATTTGTGCAAGTGTACATATGGAGGCCAGAGTTAGGCACTGGGTGGCTTCATCAAGTGTCTTTATCTCTCGGGTTTCACTATATTCTTAGTCAATGTGGAACTCTGTGTAGACCGGGTTGGCCTCAGACTCACAGATAGCCATCTGCCCCTGCCTCCAGAGTGCTGGGATTAATGGTGTGTGCCATCACTTGTCTTTTGAGGCAGTCTCTGAGCCTGGAGCTCAGGCTGGGCTGGCTACTCTATGAGCTTTGGACATTCATCCTTGTAGTGGCATTTCATCTGTATTTTAATAAATAAGTCTTGCCTGACGATCAGAGAGTAAAACAGCCCCTCTGGTCAGCCTTACAGACAGGTAGTGGTAATGCACACCTTTAATCCCAATAGCCACACTAGATGCCATAGAAACCAGGTGGTGCGCGCCTTTGATCCCAGAACTAGAGAGGATTGTAAAATGGGAGGAGACAGCACTCACACACTGTCTCATTCTGAGATTCTTGGAGGCAGGGGCGCCATTTTCGGACTGAGAAGAGGGAAGAGCCACTGGCTGGCTGCTTTGCTTTTCTGACCTTCAGGTTGAACCCCAGTTTCTCTGAGTTTTTATTAATCGTGCTTCACATCCTGTCTGTCCTTGTCCCATGCCTCCCAGTCCAACTGGAGTCCAGTCTGTGTATGTGGCCATGGCACCAGCATTTTCTTTATTTTCAAATGGGTGCTGGGAATCCAAGCTCAAGTCCTTGTGTATGTGCAGCGGACACTTTACCACCTGAGCCATCTCCTCAGCCCCTGAGTTACTGCTACATTTTTCTTATTTTTGAGTCTCAATTATTTTATTTTTAAACTACTTTTTTCAAACCTCATGAATCATCTGAACAATTTAGTCCATTAGTCATTTTAAAAATTTCAATCATTTTATTATAACATTATGTGTATGAGTGTTTCCCTTACATGTTTGTAAGTGTGCCATGTACATGCCTGGTACGCACAGAAGCCAGAAATATGTCAGATTCCCTGGGACTGGAGTTACAGGTGGTTGTGAACCACCATGTGGGTGCTAGAAATCAAACCTGGATTCTCTGCAAGAACAACGAGCATTCTTAACCCTGAACCGTCTCTCCGGCTCCCATTAATGATTTTAAATTGCTCCTTTTACTTTAAATTTGTATTAAATATATTAGACGTGTTTCTATGTGTGTGGTAATTTCTGATACCCAGTTTTTTGTGGGTCTGATGCTGTCTATTTCTGATGACTTTCTCATGGTACTTTTTCACTTTGTAAATTTTGACTGTATGACTGAATTTTGGTTTCCTGTTTTGGAGGTGAGGGGGGGTTAAGACAGGGTTTCCCTGTAGCTTTGGAATTTGTCCTGGAACTCTCTGTAGGCCAGGCTGGCCTTGAACTCACAGAGATCCGGCTGTCTCTCAAGTGCTGGGAGTTAAAGGTGTGTACCACCTTTGGTTTCTTAAGGTCTGGATGAATTCTGCATTTCCGGCATACGTAGGGTTCTTTGAGATAGATCTCTGTCCTGGGAAATTTTTGCACACTTGAAGGTAATAATCCGGTATTAGTTACATTAGAGTTGAAGGATTGTTTAGGGGAAGCTCACCCATCTCTGTCGTAAGAAAAAGTCCTTCATGGGTTTTTATCTCATCTCACACTGCTAGAAATTCTCTTTGGTTAAATATAATAAGTCCTTTCTTTCTCCATAGGTTTCAGGAAAAGGAAGATTCTTGATCTCTCCTGGCAACTCAGCAACACTGCTCCTCCTCTGGGGAGGTGAAGACAGTCCTTTGAGGCCTCCCTCCCCTCTGGGTACAGTGCTCTGTTCTCAGAATAAGATTATCACCCCCAGCTGGGCGGTGGTGACACACCTTTCATCCCAGCACGCTGGAGGCAGAGGCAGGTGGATCTCTGTGAGTTCGAGGCCAACCTGGTCTACAAGAGCTAGTTCCAGGACTGGCTCCAGAGCTACAGAAAACCTGTCTCGAACCCCCCCCCCCCAAAAAAAAATCATCACCCCCAAAGCATTCCTTCCCCAAGCTGAATTTACTAAAGTTATATTTTCTATGAAACTTTGACGTTGTGTGTGTTATTCATAATCTTACTCTGGCCAGGCTCGTGGCATATGCCCTGTAATCCCAGCACTTCAGGGGTAGAGGCGAGACAGTTTCAAGCTTGAGGACAGTGAACTGTGTAAGGAATTCAAAGCCAGCCAGAGCTATGGAACAAGATGCCTAAAACCAAAAATAACAGTAATCCGTCTTACTCCAAAAGGAAATTGAAATGACCTAGGATATGGCTGTAAAAAAGAAAACAAAACTGTAAGGATAAAATAATGGAGTCTGGAATGAAGCTGTTTGGGTCTGGGGTAACTCAGACATTCACCATGACCATGAATACATTTTAATAAGAAGCTTTATTAAATTCTGGTACTAGATACTCATGGTACCAGGACTGCAACCAAGAGCATTCCCAAGATGCAGCATCCAGTCATATCAACCCAAGGCTTATAAAGTCAAACCCCACAAAATTACATATATTCTCTCTACAAGGAGGCAGGGTCTAATTTTAATACGTCTTGCTGTTGAGCAGAGTTTGATTACAAAAGCAGAAATAGCAGTTAGTCTTATGACCTGCTGCAGATTTTACAAGATCTGTCTATTTAAGAATAGTTTTTACAGAGTGGTGGTGCAGGCCTTTGATCACAACACTTAGGAGGCAGAGGCCAGCCTGGTCTACAGAGCGCGTTCCAGGGCTACACAGAGAGAGGGGAGGAGAATAGTCTTTAACTTTGGGAAAAGGGAGAGCACTGAGAACTGATAAGGTAAGCTAGGGGCTTACATCTTTGAGGCATTTTTTGTTTTCCCAAGCATAGTAACTCTAACTGTAATGTTAATTATCACAAAATCAATACAAATAAAGCAATTAGAGGTATTGAGAGATTAAACAAAATTTAACCAGATGTATTTGAATGTTGCCCTGCCCCGCAGCCTAGCCGTCGTATTCCTCAAACTGGGAGCTAAATGGCAGTCTGGGTATCTCACCACATGGTTGGAAAATTCCAAAGTTTAGTGTACCCTCGCTCCAGGACCAGCAGACAGGCAGAGGACTAGTACCCAGTACATTTCCTGCTCCTGGAAAACCATTTCTCGACAGATGATAAGAAAACGGAACTTGGCTGAGTCCCACTTACTGTTCTACCCAGGCTTACTGATAAAGCAGACAAGGGAAGGGGTGCACATCAACCTCACTTCCTCGGCGACCCGCAACCCGGAACTGCCCCTCCTCCAATGAACTTGGGACCTAGGCCAGTTGGCCCCCGCCCCTCCGTGACGTCACTTCTGCTAACTGCGGCGTCTGCGCAGTGCTACAGTACGGCGGAACTAATCTGGTGACGCCTGCGCTTTACTCAAGCGGTGCTGGGGAAGGGAAACTGGGTCCTGCAGCATGCGTCACACCCGGAAGTGAAAGGCCGGAAGTGGGGTTGGACAGGTTGTCCCCAGGGGTGGGGAAGAAGAGGCCCTGGAGGAAAGGGGGAGAAAAAGAAGCCAGAGTATCCTGGCCACTACTCCGAATCGTGTACCGAATCTCTTAGCTCTCAGAGGCGCAGGAAAAGGGAAGGGTGTCTCATCCCGCTTCCTCGCTTTTCGCTTTAGCCATGGCGGAGGCAGGGGCCGGGCTGAGTGAGACCGTCACTGAGACAACGGTTACCGTGACAACCGAGCCCGTGAGAAAGGCGGGCGGGGGGCCTTTAGGGGTCTGGGAGGTACTGGGAGGGGAACAGGGGTTTGGAAAGTTGGAGGGTTTGGGATCTGGGACATGTGGGGTTGACTTAGGAAAATCGAAAGGGAATGGGATGTTTGGAGCGGCTGAAATCATGAAAGTGGTCAAGGAACCTTTAATCCGCAGTTACAGTTAGGGCATAGATGTTAGGATTTGGAGTGGGGGGTCTGTGTATGTAATAAACGGAAACTGCGTTGAGGAGCAAGGAGGATACTAGGAAGAAATGAAAGGCCATTTGAGAAAGCATGGTTTTGGAGGCAAACGTAAAGAACGAATGCTTACCGATAGATAGTCATGGAATGGGTGCCTGTTTAAGTGGAGGAAATGAGGAAAGAAAATAAGGTGAAGGTAGTTTTGACAAGTCAGAGGGGAGAGAGGCAAGTGAGCAAATAGATTTTTTGCAAAATCAAGTTAAATTGCTTTTGAAGGGAGAAAGATGCGTTGAGTTTAATAATGTCTGAGTTGCAGGAGCTTAGAAGGTTAGTAATTACTACCAGAGATGCCAGGGTGTTGGAGAGCCCTGGACTTGAAGATGAGAGAGTTACCAATGACGGCTTTCTTTGGAAGAGGACAGTCTTGGGTTCTTGTTTTATTTTGCTTGTTCAGATGTATGAGGAGGCAGAAGCCAGCCTTGGATGTTTCTCAGGCACAGTCTATCCCCCTTTATTTCCCCCTAGTTGATTTGAGAGAGAATCATTTTTTCTGGAGCTGCCCAAATCAGCTAGGCCGGCTAGTGAGAGATCTGCTTCTCTGGACATCTCCAGAACTGGGATTGCAGACATACACCACCACTACATCTGACTTCCTTTTTAAAATATGGATTCTAGGAACCAAACTCAGGAAAGCTCTTTGCCAACAGAGCTTTCTCTGTAGCCCTGCTTTTTTTTTTAATTTTTATTTTGTTTTTGAAAGAAAAGGGACTGGCTTCTGTCTCAGTCTCCTAAGTGCTGGGATTACATGTTTGTAATAAGGTGTATGGAGAAAGAAAGGGAAGCTGAAGACCAGCCACAGGGAACTGAGAAAATAACTTTCTTGTACTAATACCACCAAGGATGATGTAGAACAAAGACGAAGAAACAGGGAAGGTTGTGTTTTTTTTTTTTTTTTTTTTTTTTTTTGAAGACTTGCAGGCACCTTCCCAGGGTTAAGAATTGTCTTTTTTGCATACTAGTAGTTATCAAGAATAGGAATTGATATTCCTCATGAACTGGTCAAAAACACGTTCTGTTTTGGCTCCCAGCACCTGGCTCCTCCAGTGACATGGTGTGTGGTACTGACTGAGCCAGGGAAGAGAGAAGAGGTTCCTTGGGAAACAGGAAAGGTCAAGAGGAGATTAGCTAGATGGGCCCATACCTCTTCACCTTACAGGAGAATCGGAGCCTAACCATTAAACTGCGGAAACGGAAGCCAGAGAAGAAGGTGGAATGGACGAGTGACACTGTGGACAACGAACACATGGGGCGCCGCTCATCAAAGTGTGAGTGCTGGCGGCCTGGCGGCCGGAGCCCCTCCCTCCCAGATGCCACAGTCCTGAGCCCCTCCCTCCCAGACTCCTCAGTCCCTAGCCCCTCCCTCCCAGATGCCACAGTCCTGAGCCCTCCCTCCCAGATGCCTCAGTCCCTACCCCTGCCTCCCAGGTGCTACAGCCCCTAACCCCTGCATCCCAGATGCCTCAGTCCCTACCCCTCCCTCCCAGATGCCACAGTCCCTAGCCCCTACCTCCCAGATGGCTCAGTCCCTAGCCCCTCCCTCCCAGATGCCACAGTCCCTAGCCCCTACCTCCCAGATGGCTCAGTTTCTAGCCCCTGCATCCCAGATGCTACAGTCCCTAGCCCCTGCATCCCAGATGTTATAGTTTCTAGCTTCTGCCTCCCAGATGTTATAGTTTCTAGCCTCTGCCTTCCAGATGTCTCAGTCCCTAGCCCCTGCCTCCCAGATCCTACAGTTCTCTTATTTTCTTGGTTGGAAAGGAAAATAGATGGGGGTGATAAAACTATGAGTTAGCAAGTCTGTGGGGCAGGCCATGACAGTGGGAGAAAGGGGCTTCTGGTTCCCTGAAGAGACAGGAACATGGGTGCCTGAGTCCCTGCGGTGGGCGAGGGGGGGACTAAGAAGGTCGGATTCTGGAAGGTAAGAGCAGACAGTGCTGTGGAGGAAATGGAACGGACTGAACATTGTATTCTTCATCCTTTTTAACTGGTTTCCTCCCTCTCCATCCAGGCTGCTGTATTTATGAGAAACCTCGGGCCTTTGGTGAGAGCTCCACCGAGAGTGAAGAGGATGAAGAGGAAGGCTGTGGTCATACGCACTGTGTACGGGGTCACCGCAAAGGACGGCGTCATACAACCCCAGGACCCACCCCAACCACTCCCCCTCAGCCTCCTGACCCCTCTCAGCCCCCTCCAGGACCTATGCAGCACTAAACCCCTCTCCCTGTTCATATGTCTGCCTGGCCCCAAATGTATCCATCTGGCTACACGGGGACTCAACCCACGGTCTGATCCCTTCTCCTGCCCCCTCCTTCCCTCTCCTGCCTGATAGAGAAGAGGAAGAGGAGGGTGGATAGAGACCCTGGAATTCTGACTTGCTGCTGTTCCAGAACCCAGGCTTCTGGGTTCTCCCAGCCCCTTTTTCCCTACAGTTTCCCCCCCCCCTCCCCCGTGCCTGGGATCCAGGCATCTTGGTCTCAGTTTGTCCCTTTGTTCTCACTGCCAAACTACCTGTCCTGGGATCCAGTTATCTTGGCCACCTGCACCCTTAGCTTGAGTCCCAAGCTCTTAAACTGGGTTTTCAACAGTCCCAGCTTCCACTGCCAGGACCCCACTCAGATTCCAGGCAATCTTGCACCCCAGCTCTGCATATAATCCTGGCTACGGTTCTTCCACTAATGCAGTTATCCTAAGTCTTAGTCCTTGCCTGTGGGATTCAAGGATTTATGGAGACCAGACCATAGGGTTCCCCAGCCCTTCCACTCCTACATACCCCTTCTGACCCTCAAAAGGAGTTAGGAGAGGTCTTTGTCAGTCACATCTATAATGGAAAGTGGACCCCAAAATAGTCATGACCTGAATATAACATTTCTGACAGAGCTGGCTGAGACCAGTGACTTAGAGCCAATGATATTCTCAACCTTTAATCTTTGAGCTTCAGCGTTGTTGTCCAAGGGGCCTGGGTCTCTAAAAGGAAAGAGGGAGAGAGCAAAGAGATGAGGGACAGGCCCCTGCAGAGCACTCCTCCCTTTCCTGCCTAGGCTTTGATGTCTCTACCAACCCAGGTGTCTTGCTCTCAGCCCTCCCCCACTGGTGCTGGCTTTGTCCTCCAGGCCTCCAGCTGTGCACAGTACCGAGATCAGCAAAGCCCATGCCACCACTGAGATCTCATTTATTGCCACAGATGCACAAAATAAATAACCTAACATTACACAATGTGTTAAATACAGCCCCATTTATACACATGGGGAGAATGGGAGACTATACAAGGATGTTTCTGATGCCTGGGTTGCTCCCAGGTTGAGTAGGGGGGTAGCACCATTGGTTCTTTTGTGTGCAAGATGAAGTTCCAAGAAGGTGTTTAAATAAAGGAAAAAGGCTATGAGCATAAAAAAGTCATAAATGTAGAGAGTAGACTGGCTTGCATATATATCCCAAAATTTATATTTTAGGCTTCGGATCTGAGGGCCTTAGGTTATGAATTAAGCATCTTATTTTAGGAGGACTTTTCTTGAGGGGAATCCTCAGAGTGGACCTCAGAAGGCTCCAGCCTTTCTGCTGCGGATCAAGCCCTGAGCCCTTTGGGATTAGAGGTAAACGCAGACTGTTTCCCAGGACTGGTGGTGCAGAGTCTTTCTCTATCCCTCCCTGCCTGGAATGATACAGAAAGGGAACTCAAAAGGTTGGGTTAGGGCATGGAGACACAGGACCAGACTGGCTTAAAGGCACGGATGTACAAGCCAGTTTGAGGTCTTGCTTTGGGAAAAAGAATGTAAGTTGGTAAAGGGTGCTTATTAGTACCCCTGCTGCGACAGGTGTACAGACATGATCAGTGAAATATGTGGGGATTTCTGCACCTGAGAGAAGTGGCCTCAAGGCATCCGGTATAGGCTAGGGTAAGAGGTAGGGGACCAGACGCTCAGCCTTCTCCAGGCACAATGCGCAGCGGAGCCTGGTGATCATAAGTGCACAGCAGCGGGAAGATGCGCTCCCCGAGTGGGCCCGGCGCCTGGAAGGCGAAGAGCAAGTCCAATGAGCGGCCGTCATAGAAGGCCACACGGCCCCGCTCCCAGTCCAAGTCCACACGAATGCGCTGCGGCGGCGGCCTGGCGCCGCCTAGCAGAGTGGGTTCTGGGGCCGTGAGCGCCCATAGGCGGCCGCCGCGGCCCTCCACGGCCCATACAGCCTCGGATGGGCACAGCTTGATGAGGCCCTTGCGCGTCACGGATTCCCCGGCCGCGCCCACGGCATAGCAGCTCTCCCCTGCGTCCTCATCCTCCGAGGTAGAGTCTCTGAAGGACGCGCCCTCCACGGTCTCCACCTCCCAGCAGTGGCGGCCTGAAGCGAAGCCTTGCGCACCCAGCACGGCTGGGAGTTGGTCGAAGCGCGCTGGACTGTCCAGGGGCTCTGGCGTTCCAGGTGGAGCCAGACTCACGCCGCGGTAGTCAGAGGAGATGAGCAGACCACGGTGTGCAGTGCGAGGGTCAAGCGTCAGGTCAGCTGCAGAAGAGAGGCAGAGGAAACCCCACATGAGAAGTTTATAGAGTCCAGAACGAGAAGGGTAGGGAAGAGACCGCGAGGGCACCTAGGAGAAAGAAGTGCTTGAGTTCCCTAGACAGCTCAAAGGGCGACTGGGATCAGAAAGAACTAAGGCACAGAGCAGGTGGAGGCAGGCTACCGGGCGCTATGATGCACCACTTTTGTGGAACTGTACTTGGACAAGGACCATGCTAGTCCAGGGCAGGGACCACTGCGTGGAGACAGGAGAGAAGACTGTCTGGTTTCTGGTGTTGGTGGAGGGTGAATAGCTGACTGGACTTCTAGGGAGAATGAGGACTAGTACTGCAACCATCTACAAGCCGGACTGTGGGGGTACACGCCTTTAATCCCAGCCCTCGGGAGGCAGGGAGGCAGAGAGGGCAGCTCTCTGTGGGTTTGAGGCCAGTCTGCACAGCAAGTTCCAGACCAGCTATGGCTACATAGTTATGACCCTGTATCAAAACAAAATGAAACATAAACCCTCGAATCTGTAGCATCTGGGTGGAGCACGGGAGCCAGGTCAGTAAGACTACTGAGAGAGACTGATACTGGATAGGAACCAACTTGATTAAAGGAGGGGCAAAAGGAGGACTCCAAGGTATCCAGTAAAACCAGGCCACTCACCCTCGTAGGGGTGGGAACCGGACAGGTCCATTTCTATGAAAGGTGCAGCCAGAGAAGAGACAGGGATCTCCAAAGGTGCCAGAAAGACCACTAAGCTTATAGGTATGGGGTGCTTTAAGGAAATACTTTTTGGATTAGGACCAGTTTGGATTAAGTGGGATGGATATGTCACTAAGGGGTAGGTATGGTAACACATGGAGAGCTACCTTGGGAATGGGCAAAGGCATAGGAGACGCTGGAGTCTTGGGACCCTTCTCACAAAGAGCAATGGGAGACGGTGGCAGCAGAGATTCCTGGGGGCAATCTTGTCTTGTTCGGGTGCACACCAAAGAATAAGGCTATTTTTCTGAGTTAAACCATGCCTCCTGGCCAGGTGTGGTGTAACAAGCTCATAGCCTCCACACATTAAAGGCGGAGACAGGAAGGACCAGAGTTCTACACCAGCCTAGGACACATAGGAAGACACTGTTTTAAAAGGTGTGTGTGTGTGGTGGGGGAGGGGGAGTTTCAATTTTGTTCCCTAATTTGTTCCTGAATTTACCCTATGCAGGAAAAGGATTTTCCCAAAGGTAATCAGGTAAGAACTGAGATCATTAGGGTGGACCCAGATGCAGTATGACTGCCACCTTAAAAGGGAGAAGAGACACTTGGACACAGAGACAGGCACATAGAATAAAGCCCAGGTAAGACTATCTGTAGGCCAAGGGAGTGCTGAGGCTTCCGGAAGCCTGGAGAGAGGCAGGGAACAGATTCCTCCAGAGCCTTCACATTCCTACTTCTATATTTTGAAGTGTGGAGGTTGCTCAAGTCGCCCATTTGTGGCACTTTGTTATTTTGGCCCTAGGAAATCGAAGCTGATACGGATGCCAAAAGGGGCTTGACCATTTTTGACAGCTGACAGGGAGCAAACAGCACAGATCCCGCCTCCTCCCTCCTCACCTGTCAGTCTGTGGAGCATGTTTTTCACTACAGGGTAATCTTCAGGAAGGTCCTCGTCTGAGATGGATGACTTGGGTGCTGGGACCTCAAATCTGCACAGAAGAAGGAAGGGTCAGGAAGTTATCAGCCTTCTTGTCTTTTGATGATGGTTCCGAGGACCCCTATTCCTAACCCACTTGCTCTTAACAGAAACAGGTGTGGCTATACTCCAGAAGAGACAAAGATCTGGGCCTGGAGAGGAGGTGATGGTTACTGTTGCAGGTAGTTGGAAGGAAGAAACAGTGAAAATGGAACTCACCGCCTCCACGTCTTCCTCATATCCTGGTATGGGCAGAAGAAAACATGGATGTGAGTGTCAGGTTCATATCGTGAGGCATCCTCCCCTCCACCTCAGGCTATTGCTGAGTGGTTGTTACCCCTCCCCACCACTTCTTAAAATGGTCTTTCTTTCCTCCCTCTGCTCCATTTTTCTCTTCGGTTCTCCCCGCTTTTTTTCATGGCCTTCCTTTCTGCTCACTCCAAAATCACCTTCTCCTCATGCTCTTGGGTTCTCCCTTCCTCAGCCTCCACACACCAGCTTCTTGCGTGTGTTCCAGACAAACGTCCACCCCTTTACCATAAAAAGGGAACACACACTCATATTCCTTGAGTTAAGAGTTGTTATATAAAAGCCTCCCAATAAAGCTGCTTCCCCTCTTAAAAGCTCGGTGGCGTTTATTGGGCTCTTTGTTTTATGTCATCTTTACCCTCAGGTCCCTGAACTCAGAAGCGTCCCAAGAGGCCCTTCAGATTTCTAAGAGAACCATGACAGCCAGAAGAGGGCGCTGGATTCTCTCCCCTCCAAACACGGGTTGCCCTCCTGAGAGGATGGCTGGCGAGGCCAGTGTGGCGAGGGAGAAAAGAGAGGACGGCAATTACACCTAGACTAATTAGGTCTGTGCAGTCTTCAAAGGGCGGAAGCAGGACCCAGAGCAGGAGGGCTGCTAAGGGGAAATAAACCAGATGCGATACCCTCGAGGTACTGCAAGGAATGGGAGTGGTTGATGTCCAAAGGGGCCCAGGGAGGGCCTAGTGGGGAGATTGTAGGGTTGTAACGTGGAAATCAGCCAGAGGCCTGCCAGCTGCTCACCCGGACCTCGCCTCCGCCTGTTTCCGCCCCTGCCTGGGGACCTGGGAGGAGTTGAGAACAATAACAACTCACAGCTCAGCTAGAGCTTGTGAGGGGAACCCTGCCTCACTTGCGAAGTTTGCATCTGCCCAGCATGCCCCCACCTCATTTGCCAGTCTCTTCCTTTCCCATCCCTATTTTTCTGCACCTGGTCTCAACTTTGTCTTCAGTGACTCTGTTCATTCGGCCCTATCTCCACCCTCCCTGGGCTCCTCCTCGCCCAAACCCGGGTGTCTGTTCGCGTCGTCCCCTTCCCCCTTCCTGTCTCCCACCGGTGAGCCCGCTTAGTCCCGGCTCCAATTTCCATGCTCCTTGCAGGCAGGAGGCTTCTGAGCGTCCTGTCTACCACCAGCACAGTCGTTTCTGCCTCTACAACATCTTAACCTCCAGCTCCACTGATAAGATTCCAGGCGTCTGTCCGTCGTTGTCCTCCTCCTTTCCCGAGAAGTGTCAACTCCTTAAACTTTTCCTAACTTCCTTTCTCAAATTGTTCACTCAAGACTTGGGTTCTCTCTCTCTCTCTCTCTCTCTCTCTCTCTCTCTCTCTCTCTCTCTCTCTCTCTCTCTCTCTCTCCCTCCCTCCCTCTCTCCCTCCTTCTCTCCCTCCCTCCCTTCCTCCATTTCCCCCCTTTTTTCTCTTTCCCTCCCTCTCTTAAAATTTATATTTTAAATTCCTCTCTCTTTTCTATGTAACCATCTCTGGGTTGGAACTCGCTTTGTGTGTACCAAGATGGTCTTGAATTTGCAGCAATCCTTCTGCCTCTGCCTTCCCGGTGCCAAGCTGTCTACTACCTGTATTCCCTTTAGGGCTTTAGAGTTAAAAGCACAGCGTCCACCTTTGCTAGGACACCCACAAACCTCTTCTTCACCAACAACCTGGACCCGCGAAGAAGGCTGACCTCCTTACCTCTCCGTGCGGGTCCAGGCAGCCCATGGTGGGGATGCGGCCCCCGCGTCGTCTCCCAGTCCGGGCCCCCGGTTCTGCCAGTTTCTCACGCAGTCCACGGCTGATGCGCACCTCCACTGCCAGACGCACGTTGGACCTCAGGCTGCGTCTGGGACACGGCTGGCCACAGCAGGGGCAGGAAGGGGGTGCCGCCTCCGAGCCCGGCGCCGCCGGGGTCCCCCAGCAGCGCGCCAAGCACGCACGACAGAAGCTGTGCTCGCACGCCAGCAGCACTGGGTCCTCGAAGGGGCCCCCGCACAACGGACACGTCGCCAACTGCTCCATACGCTCCACCAACCCCGGGCCCAGCTCGGGAGCCTCCATGGAAAGCCGGGGTCCGGACGCACCCTGGCCCGCGACCGCGACCGTAGCAGCCGCCCCCGCGGGCGCAGGTGGTGAACCACCCCCGCTGCGTGCTGACTCGAAGCCCCTCGCTGCGCCTCCCTCATTCACTTCGCACCTCCTCTCTACCCCTCTCCCGGGCTGCCTCGCTTACCCAGATCAGACTCAGCGCGTCTCCTCACCACGTCAGGTTTTATAGGGAGGGAGGAGGCCCCATGCAAGAGGTAAACAGCAAACCTTGCGTAATGCCCCATCTGGTTCTCCCGCTTTCTTAGTTAGGTTTTGGGGAACAGAGTGTAGAGACTGAGATACCTAGGTCCCAGAGCTTAGAAGGTGAGCACCAGGGCATGCTCTGTAGGCAAGGTGGCAATGTTGGATTTGGTAGACCCCGTGAGTGATTCCCTGAATAACGCGAATCACCCCCTTAGCCTGTGGTGTGTCTTTTGGTGGGCAGGGTGCCCAGGCTCGCTCTTGGCATGCGTTGCCTGCATCGCCAGAGAATGAGTCATCACAGGTGGTTGGCACACCTACCTCTGGGGGTTAGGGGCCCCGGAAGCTCAGGTCCTGGACTGTGTGGCTCTGGCAGGCCTTTGAGTGTTGGCATGTGGCTATCACTACTGGCGCCTCATCTTCCTGCCTTGCCTATTAAGGTCTGGGGACACCCAGGGTTTGGGATAAGGGCTGGAAGCAGGCGCCTACATTCCTGCCTCTCAGGTTAGGGTTCCGAATTCTCTCTCAGTCCCCTTCTCTCCAGAAGTTTCTATTTTTTCTATTCTTTTCCTTTGTGTTCTTATTTTCAACTTTCTCCTTTTTTTTTTTTAACCTGACAATTACCTCTATCAACTGCTGAGACCCAAACCTGGATCATCAAGAGTAGACCATACCTAGATCTTCTGACTGTGCTACAGAAGGGAATCGACTTGCCTGTTTTGTTTGTTTGTTTGTTTTAAATTTATTTTCAATTTAAATTGCAGAACCCGAGAGCTCCATTCTGCTTTCTTCTCAGATCTTTTCTTGTACCTTTGTCTCACTCCATCACCATCTCTTCCCTCCTCATCACTCTTCCCTCCTCTCCTGTCCTTCTTCCTCTTCTTTCCTCTTCCAGATCCCTTCTCTCTTCCAAGCCTCTCTGCCTGGATACCTTTGGGGGTTTCTGAAAAAGCTTCTGTGTAACCACATACTCTGTTATGCATGGATCATGATCATCTACTCCCAGCTTCACTGTGTGCGCAAGCCTCTGGATACGCCCAGTTAGGACAAACACCACAAATGCTCCTCAGTATTCTCCTAGCATCAGGATCAGGAGATTGTTGAGGGACAGAAGAGCATACTCAACCTAAACATGCAGAGAAGGACCTTGTCATTAGTGTTATTGTTGATAACAACAAAACAAGGCATTGAGGCTTTACAGAGCAGCAACTCTTTATTAGACACCCCCTCCAGGCATCCTTCTTCTTCCTTTCCCATAGTCACCAGAGAGGGACTCAAATATGACACTGTGATAAACAAACCTCCACAGACAAATACACGCACATTCACAACCCTCCCTCCCCCCCCCAGCTCAGCATCCAAATGCACAGCTAAAACGCAGGAGAAAATGAGGCTGGGTGTGATGGAGCATGCCTGCAATCCAGAACGTGGGAGCATGAGGCACAATGATTGCCATGAGTCACATGCCAGCTTGGGCTACATATGAAACTCTCTCTCTCTCTCTCAAAAAAAAAAAACCCAACTTTTTAAAAAAGACCCAAATATGATCTAAATCTGTTTTGTAAAAGGTGCATTTTGTAGTATGTGGGTAGAATGGTACCATGCCACACAAGACACTTCATCCTAACGTCTTGAAATTGAACACGTTGCCTTACTTAGAAATAGAAAATTAATTTGAGATGATACTGTATTTGATAATCAGTTGAGCTTGAAGTAGGGAGACTATTCCAGAAGTGAGTCCATCAAAACCACAAACATTCTTAAATGTGGAGAATGAGAACGGAGAGGAGAAACAGAGCTGCCAGCACAAGATGTTCCCAGCCTGACAGGGCTGGCTTTAAACATATATTTATATTATTTTTACTTATGTGTATGTGTCTGTATGAAAGTATGTGGAGGAGGGTTGTGGGAGACAGAAGACAGCAGCATCATGTCCCCTGAAATGTGGGTGCTGGGAACCTAACTCGGGTGCTCTGCAAAAGCAGCTAGTGCTCTGGGCTGGCTAGCTTTATGCCAAGTGGACACAAGCTAGAATCATTGGAAAGGAGGGAGCTTCAGTTGAGAAAACGCCTCCAGTAAGATCTGACTGTAGACAAATTTGTAGGGCATTTTCTCAATTAGTGGTTAATGGGAAAGGCCCCAGCCCATGGTGGATTGGTGCCACCTGGGCTGTTGGTCCTGGATTCTATAAGAAGGTTCACTGAGCAAACCATGGCGACCAAGTCAGTAAGAAGCACCCCTCCATGGCCTCTGCATCAGCTGCTGCCTCCAGGTTCCTGCCCTGCTTGAGTTCTTGCCCTCACTGCTTTTGATGATGAACTGTTTCATGGAATTATGAGTGAAACAAACCCTTTCCTCCACAAGTGACTGTTGGACATGGTGTTTACCACACCAACAGTGACTCTAACTAGGACACACTATTGACCATTGAACCCTCTCTCCAGCCCCATACAATGCTGGCATTGACAACCGAGGAAGGGAACCATGACGTAAAGAAGTGGGTGGCCTCAAGTAGCAACAAACACTAGGGGAATGAATTGCCCACTCAAGCATTCATGAGGAGCCATGTCCTGCTGATACCTTGATTTTACCCCAGAGACCCTTTCCAGACTTGTGAACTAAAGAATGATAAGACAGCAAATATAGAAACTGGAGAGGTGGTTCCACAGTTTGCTATTCTTACAGAAGACTTGAGTTACTTCCAAGAGCCCACATCAGCTGACTCACAACTACCTGTAACTTCTGGTCTTCTGGGCACCCACACATGTGGCATGTATTCACCTACACATACACACACGTACATACAAGAGAATTTTAAAATGTTCTTTTGAAGAACAATACATGAGCTAGGGATGTGGTAGAGTATTTGCCTCGACACATCAGGCTCTGGGTTTGATCCTCAGCAGTGCAAAAACAAACAAACAAAACAGGCAATAGATGTGTGTTGGAAACACTAAATTTGTGGTCATTTTGTTACAGAAGCTGTAAAAAATTAATACATGTGCTAGCCCTTTCTCCTTATCTCTTGCCCTAGTCCTTGTTGATTTTATTTTGTGGAGATGTAGTCTTTCCCTGTAGCCTCAGGCTCTCCCAAAGTTTGCTACATAGCCCAGATTAGCCTCAAACTTGAGCTTCTCTTACCATATCCTCGCTGAATACTTGGACCACAGGTATGTGGTATCACATTAAATTATGTGTGTCTGTTTTATTCTGATTTCTGGATTTCACTTGGCTGTCTTATGGCGTTCCCCTGGTCTTCTGTTCTTGTCTTTCTTTTTTGTAAAACAGGGTCTCACTGTGTTCTTAGCTGTCCTGGAATTTACTCTGTAAACCTTGCTGACCTTAAACTCACAGAGAATCAGTTTGTCTCTGCCTTCTGAGTGGGTGTTTAAAGGCATGCACCACTATGTTCAGCCGGGCTATTTCATTTTATTGACTCCATTTCTACCTTCAAAGCCTCTTAACAATGAGTTCTTTCTGGATCTGGGACTGGAACATTAGAAAAACCACCCTGAGTCCCTTCAGTCCGAGAGCCTTGCCATGGCCCTCGAGGTCATCAGTGGTTCACAGCCTTGCCTGGACTTTGAAACCACCAAGTTTCTGGTAGCAGATGACACCTCCAGCCAATGGAGCAGAACCTCTGGACGTGAGTGCCAGACACCAGCAGTTTCCAGCTCTTGCGTGATGTCTTGCATCATAAGTCTGCAGCAGACCTGCCCCTCCTGTTTGGTTTCTTCTGCTCTGGCTGCAGCACCCTTCTGTTTTCTGTTCCTTGAACATTCCAGGGCTGATCCAGATGTACGATCTCTGCACTCATTGTTCCTTCACTTTGGAGGAAGCTTCATGTGCCTTTCCCTGTCATCTCATTCAGGTCTCAACCCACAGCTAATAGCATCAGAGAGGGCTTCTGTTTTTCAGTGTTTGGGACTGATGCTGTGGTCATGCACATGCTAGATAAGTTATCTTTCATTGAGCTACATCTCCAGCTCTATAGAGGGCTTCGTTCTCTTGTGTTTTTTTTTTTTTTAATTATGCGTATGTGTGTGTGCCTGTGTGAGTTTATGTGCACATATTCACAGGTTCCCTGAGAAGCCAGAGGGTGTCTGCTCCTTGAAGCTGGAGTTATAGGCAGTTGTAAGGTACCTGGTGTGGGTGCTTGGAACCAAATCCTAGCCTCTATAAGAGCGGTAAGCTCTCTTACCTGCTGAACTGTATCCCCAGCCTCAATACCACTTCTATTCCAAGTCATTTTCCTCAAAGGAGTTAATTTTTTTATTTATCGTCATCATCTTTATCTTGGTCTTCAATAATCTACTTACCTGTTTTCATTTCTATCCAACAGATGATAAGCCCTACAGGAGCAGGAATGTAACCTTTCATGTTCACGACTGCCCAACACACACCTGGCCCAATGCCCAGCACAGTGTCTCAATGTCTCTACTCAGTTGTTGAGTTACTCATTGTTGATTGGGCAAAGTGAAGATCCTCTGACTGATTCTTCTTCTCCCATCTAAGTGCCAGACAAAGACATTCTTATCAGCCAGTAGTCCTTCCTCGTTGGCAGGTGCTGGGGATGGATGGTCCTGGGTGATGGAAGAACTGGAACTCAGTCTGGCTGCAGAAGCTCATGACTGCTTCCCTTCTATAACCAGGTGGGGAGGACGCCTCAACCTTTACAGTTTGGTTTCCCAACGTTCACACCAGTGACTCTAGGACACGGGTAAAGGAAAAGGCATTTGGGTCTGGTCTCTGCCAGGAAACATTTCACTTCTCAAGCCTTTCTCCCTCCCTCTTCAGACTCCGTAATGAGTTCACCTATTAATGATCCTCTGATCCTCCCCAGAGTTCATTCTATGACCATAAATGGAAGGGTGGAGTTGAGTGTGCGTGTGTGTGCATGTGTGTGCGTGTGTGTGTGTGTGTGTGTGTGCACGTGCGCTGGCTTGGCTTTGCTTGCTCCAGTTGACTGTGACAGAATCCTGCCCCTCCTTAAAGTAGGTGCTTCCTACACAGCTGTTTCCAACCCTTTCAAGATGCCTACTGTGGTGCTGTGCTACAGCACAAAACCTCCGCATGCTACTAGGAAATGTTAAAAGTGGGACAGGCCCCTTCCTTTCCTTTCTCCTTCCTATTTTTTTTATTCCTTTTGTTTATCCTCTAGTCT